TCAGCCGGTCAGATCGATTGCAAGGGTCGGCAAAGCCTACACAAGCCAAGCCAAAACGAGCTATCTGCACTTTATAATTACATTAGCAATTAGAACTACATATATGAACACCAACAATATTAAAAAAACTTTAATGGGCACGTTAGTTTCTAAAAATGTTACTCACGTTCGGAGTCTTGCGATTGAGCAACGGCGAAAGATTGATTCAACAGATCCTCTTTAACTTGCCGTTCTTGAACCAGTTCGCTCTCTTTCGTCGCTAAGTCAGTCTCTAAATTGGTGATTTTCTCCTGCAGTTTCGTCACGTCCCTTTCACTTTTTGACATCAACGTGTTAATTTCATGCCTGAAAATATTTTTTGCAAACGGTGTTTGTCAAAATATTGACATAGATGTCATTTTGGTCATCCTAGGTCAAATGCAATAGGTATACATAGTGTTTTTTTAAGAACCCGTATTCGTAAGGCGAAGGCTACGCGTTTGGTATTTAGTGATGGTAGGGATCATCACTATTTAAGCTACATTTCTAACGTACACCGTGCCATGACGGACACAGAATCTGATAATAGAGTACCTATAGATGTAAAAGCAGGATCATCTAAGAAACGTCCATACGTCAAACCTGGGCAAAAATGGCTTAAAGACCTCTAATAAATAATGTATCACAAGAAACGTACCGCCACAGACTTAAAATAATTAGAAAAATCTAGTTTCTAATCTAAAATTGGACAAAAATGTATATGTATTTTCTTGAAGCATAAGAAGAGTAATACAAAAATATACTCATATATCGCAACACAACAAAAGCGAAACAAAGACGTAAGAAAAGCACTGAGGCCACCGAATACACACTCAGTTCACTGAGCCCACTGTACGTAGTCATGCCATAAGTTCTGTCCCTCGTTTTCAAACAAGTGTAGACCTGTTAATACTTGTCCGATTGTTTACATTGTGGTGTCAGTTGATTAAGCGCTTTTCGGGTAATTACATATACCTCAGTTTGTATTGATCTCTCGAAGCATAACGATGGAGTGGGGCAAGGCAGAGAACCGTATTGCAGTGATAGCTTTACATAAGTGTAATCACAGTGCTAGTCAGATTTTTGAACTCTTACGCGGCCTTCAAATATCGCGTAAATTTGTGTCTAGGACCATTCAGCGGTACAATGAGACGTCCTCTGTTGATGACAGGCCAAGAAGCGGAAGACCTCGTCAAGTAAGGACTCCAGCAGCCATCAAAGCCGTAAAAGCCAGGATTCAAAGGAATCCACTCCGGCAGCAGAAGATCCTATCCAGGGAAATGAAGATTCCTGTCCGGACGATGTCGCGCATCATTAAACAAGACCTAGGGCTAGGGGCTTACCGGAGACGTACGGGCCAGCGACTTACGGCCACCTTGCGACACATCAGGGCGACAAGATCCAAGAAGCTCTTGGAGAGGTACGCAGCTGGGGGATTCCGAAAGATTTTGTTCACGGATGAGAAAATCTTCACCATAGAAGAAAAATTCAACCGACAAAATGACAAAGTGTATGCAAGGAGTTCACAGGAAGCTTCGGAGATCATTCCGAGAGTTGAGAGAGGCCACCACCCTGCGTCAGTCATGGTTTGGTGGGGGGTGTCCTACGAAGGGGTCACTCAGCTCCATTTCTGTAAACAGTGCGTGAAAACAAAAGCGGCAAACTATCAGAGCGACATACTGGATCCTATCGTCAAGCCTTTAAGTGGTACATTGTTTGCCAACCAACACTGGGTCTACCAGCAGGATTCCGCCCCCGCTCACAAGGCTAAGAGTACGCAGCGCTGGCTGGAAAGCAATGTGCCAGAGTTCATTGCTGCGGAAGATTGGCCCTCAGGGAGTCCGGACCTCAATCCTTTAGACTACAAGTTGTGGGACCTGCTAGAGCAGTTGGCCTGCTCCAAAGCCCACCGTAATATCGAGTCCCTGAAAGCGGATTTGATCCGATCAGCGGCAGCTATTCCTTTGGAAGCTGTGCGTGCAGTGATAGATGAGTGGCCCGCGAGATTGAAGCAGTGTGTGAAGGCCAAGGGGGGACATTTTGAATAAAACTGTTTGATTATGAATTCTAAAAATGTTGTCGAATAAATAATATCTTTCATATAAATATATCTTATCTTGTTTCATTTTTATCATGAGATTATCATGGGACAAAACTTATGGCACGACTACGTATTCACTCTCAGAATCAGTAAATGTTTGCCTTGAAGGTCTCCATGCGCCTGCTCTCGTAGGTTTATCTCGCACTTTTTACTACAGCTTGGCCAAAGGCTACCAAGGCTAGAAAATTATCTTTTATGTTGAAATCCCTTGATGATGTATGACTTTTACTAAACCTATCATTGTAACTGTCTGTTAACGTTTATAAGCGATGAAAATTAGTATGTGTACTGCATGTTAGTATTTGTGAGCCGCTTCAGCAAGGTGGACGTCAGAAATCCAGCTTAACTGATCTTCTATTCCTCATTGTCCGTCAAAGCGGTCTGTGGGAGCTTTGCTATTGATATCGAAGGTCAGTAGGTCTGTCAGGTCTGGTTGCCCAGATACCAGATGAAGATCAGGGAGAAACAAAAGGAATAGAAAAAAAAGTACGGAAGGAGGAAGAGCAAAGAGGAGGAAGTGCGTCAATTACAGGGGTGCCTTGGTATTGTTCTGTTCTGCAAAACCTGCAGACTACGCTTATGCGTTTTGGCGAGAAGACTCCATGGTGCACATGCGTAAGTGATTGCCGGTACCATCTTGTATATCCGAACTTTGTTCGTCAAACTAAATGTTGAGGTTCTATATAGCTTTAGGGTAGAGTTGCCAAAACGTAATCCGGAATTTAGTTTTTACGCTTCAGTGTGATTCTGCCAGGTCATCCCCCTGTCAAGAGTGACACCGAGATACTTAACAGAATTTACCCATCGTATGCGAGCTCCGTTCACTGACACCTCAGGCGGAGCGCCGCTATGTTTTTTAGTACAATACGAGTAGATAGCCTGCGTTTTCGAGTAATTAATTTTGATTAACCACAGATCTGCCCATTCCAATATCTCATCCACCGCACGTTGTAACCTGTCGTGAACCAGATTCCCGGAACGCGACTGGGCCACCAGTGCAGTGTCATCAGCAGGGACGTCATGCGTGAAAAGCGATATAGGATTGGTCCAAGAACCGAACCCTGAGGCTCTTATGGGTCTACTGTCGACAAGACATTATTAATTGTGATATGAAATTTCCTACCTTCACCTAAATTGCACGTCAGGAATCACCTGGCGAGCTTAGACGGAACTGACAGCAGGCTAATGGGACAATAATCCTGGAGAAATACCGTACCCACTTTCTTTGGAATCATTATAACTTCTGAAGTCTTTCACGTCGAAAGGAGGTACTGGGTTCTTAGCATGGCGTTGATAATAGCCACGAGATAAGTCAAGGACTTCCAACTTCAGCGCCTTATTAGTGATTTTATCCTACCCAGGCGCTTTACGCACCTTGAGGTCTTCAATATGACCTTGAAGCTCTGCTGGTGTGCAGTGCGGAACCTCGGGAGATGCCGCTGATGTGCTATGCAACTCTTCGGTTGAAAAATCTTGAAATCCTCTGAGGAAGCAGCTTAACTGAAGTGTAACAGTGAATTTCTACGTAACCTTACATACAGGGTGTTCGGAAGGTCGATACCTAGAGTGATAGTACACCCCATTTGGAATACATTGAGCCACGTATACCTTAGTAGAAAGTCGAACCATTTTAAAGTTTAGCGCAATTTTGTGAAATCCTCTAAAAAAGCTAAAATCATGCAATAAACCATCGCTTGCTTAATAATGAAGAGCAACTCTTTCTTTTAGTTTTAACATTCACATTGATGTATAATTTTACTACACAAGTAGTTTTCAAGTTATCGAAAGATCGCGTGAACGTTATAAAAACTAATGTTAGTATGTTGAAGAACTGGTTTGAGCAGTGTGCCCTTTTCCCGTGGTATTGCGTTGATGACATAATTGTCAAAAACGGTGAAAAGAACGATGTTTGAATACATGCTTGCGGTGTCTACAGTCCCTAAATGAATCGTTTCCTCACCTCAACTTCTCGCACTGGCTCCTCAAAAATTCTCTTTCATTAACAATCTCCTGATGCACTGCCATACTAACTAAGTTTCTATCTTCCCCGCCGCTACCCGAGTCAGTGGTGTCGATAAGGCTCCCCTCAGAAGGAGGCTCATCCTCATGATCTGGCTCAGGGGGCTCCTGAGGTGCGACAACTACTTCTTGGGTTACGTAGGTACGAAAGTCGCCCATTATCAGGAAGTTCGGGGGATTCTAGAAAAGAAGAACGATTTGTTCCGAACATAATGATTCATTAAAACTAAATATTCATGCTAGATGGGGCTAAATCCGTGGTAACCCAGTTTTTTAATCATTTTGAGCACACAACAGTAACATTTATTCTAAAGTTGTCCGTTTTCGAGTTATAACCTATTTAGAATCTGAAAAACCCTAAAAATGCCAATTTTCAATGATAAATACAAATCTTGTACCATATCTTGTTTTAAACCACATTCCTTAAGATCACATTTTGTAATAGCTGAAGATCGTTAGGAATTTCAAAATTTCCCATAATGTACTTACTTCCCCACTCGAATCTATTTCAAATAATTGTAATAGAAATTTGAATGTTTACACTATGAAATGGTTTCAACAACATACAATTTTGACGTCATATTGTCACATGTCATAAATGACAAACAGTAGTACATTTGCAAGACAGTAGAGCCAGTAACATAATCTGTATACAGGACGTTATTCCATTTATGCTGACATTTCACAATATACTACAACTACCTAGTATTACTAATAAAGGTGTTTAAATAGTCAAATTTGTGTCCGATTGGTGGTGCCATCTAGAAAATAGACGTAAAGCGTGGATGAGCATATAATATGTATCTTCATCCAAGTGCTTATCTTTTTTATCTTATCATATTTTTAAATGATACGGCAGACATGGCGGAAAGCATTTATTGAATCACTGATACCATCGATTACACTTTATTTTTCTTACACTCAACACAAACATCATATTCTTATTCTCTCAAATTATGTATGTTTAAGCTGAATTCTCAATTTTTTATCATATAATTTTATTTTAAATTCGCGAAAAATCGGCCTATGAAAGGTTTAATCAGTTAAACAATTTGACGAGAATACTGAAGCGGCAAAACAATTTGAAATAAAAGATTGTTGCATAAAAAAAGTGTCACAAATAAATAATTAGAAGAGAAATAAGGACGAGCGATACTTTATATGGCAAAGTATAGATTATATGGGGCAATAAGATACTTAAGCCATATTTTTTATACCGAAGCAGCCGCGTAGGCAGAAGATTAAATACCAAGGCACCGTGGAGCTTAAAAAAACTTTGTTGATCCGATTTTTGAACTGCCTAAGGTTAGTCGATTGTTCCGCAATCTAGATAGTCATGGACAACGGAGCGGTCGCAAGGGTCAGTTCTGCATGTCTGTGAAAACCAAAAGCCAATTTTGGTCTAAGAGACAAGGTTGAAAAGCGCTTTAAAATAAAGTAATCTCAAAATACCTATCAGGGTAAGCATGGTAAAAACTTTAATTTAGATACTTGGCGACCTCAAAAATTATAATTTTTATCCGTGTTTTTAAGCACTGCATACACCCATTTTTAGGGCATTAAATCGCTTCTAACCCAAAAATGTTCAGCTTTAGAGAAAAGATAATGAAAGCCTTTTTTGTTCGGAATGATCCAAATAAGTTGAAAAAAAAACTTGTTACTACTCAGAGTCACACATATCATATTTGCCCTCTGTATCATTGAAACAACCATCGACTAATTTCCGTTAAGCGCCAATCTTGAAATTTAAGTGGCTTTCAGCTTTCCCTTCTTAACATAAGGATATGTGGTTCTTCAAAAACGTCATTTAGAGATTAAAGCGGCATCTATTAGCGAATTGTGTTTTTTATTCAAATGTGGATTAGGCACCTTATTGTCCCAAGCCCTACAAATTACATGGCAAGATTTTACAAATTATTAAATATATATGGATCGGGAGGCGCTGTAGGGATGGCACCACCAACACTGGTTTCGCTGCTTGACTTAGCCTCAAAAAAGGAAATACAAGTAACCAACTCTTCCTCCATGACACTAACCTCGGGTAATGGAGGTATAGCAATTAAATCCTTGAAGTACTGTAAGTTGCTGGTGCTCTCGTAGAACTTCCTCAGTGCGCGGAACTGTTTCAGGAAGCGTTCCCTGTGTCCTTGGAGTGTATCAGGCGGAAGTGCCATGTGAAGTTTGAACATGATCTTGACGCAGTAGTCGTACAATTTGGACGCATCTTGAATGCATGGAATTAAAGGGGCCAAGCGACATTGGCCAGCGCTTGTCATCGAGTTGGAACGCGCCATGTTGAGGGAACCAAACACTGCAAAATTGGCGCAATTATGTCATCTATTTATTTACAATAAAAATAACAGTTGACTTACTAAAAAACACCAAAAAATATAGCATGTCCCAGTAAAAGGGATAAATTAACCAGAATGCGCTTCGAAGATGGTATAGTAACAGAAATAATATTAATTGCAGAACGGATGGGGGATTCAAACGTATGCCACATGCAAGTTTATAATTGTGTACATCAGCAATCTTTCAAAAATGGTTCTAAAAGAATGTTTCAACATTATTGGAGAGAAGTTATTATTGCTAGTGAATCACTGTTTAGTGTATGCCGAATTTTCTTCGAAACTAAAATGTTCTACAATTACTCCTGTTCCAAAAGTTCAAAATTGTGAGTTATATGCAAACATGTGGTCAATTAATCTACTGACAGATGTCGATAAGCTCTTAGAAGGAATCATTATATGAAGAAATCATTAAATATATTGAAGAAAACAATACACTGACAAAATATCAAGCAGGATTTAAAGGTTCAGTATTGGACATACATATTACAGAATTATTTAATCAATAGAAGTCAAAGAATTGGCGATACACTATCAAGCATTAAAAACATTTCTGTAGGAGTGCCACAGGGTAGCAACTTAGGCCCATTACTATGTATGTTATATACTAACGATATTCCTGATGTTTTACAACACTGTAATCTAAATATTTGCTGATAGAGCTGTTGAATAATGATATGAAAAACATAATTGATTGAATATAAGTAAACTCAAATTAAACACAAAAAAACCAAAATGTAAGCTTATGGGAAAATAAGAGGTGTGGAATTATCACAAAATTACATTGAAAATTTCCCGTTACCTAGACAACGGGAAATTTTCAGTAACTATTTCCCTCGTCTTAATTTCTACCAATCACAAATGCCCAATTTTGGATTACATATGGTTTCTAGATGGAAAAATTGTATGTACCTGTCAGCAGTTTTTCAAAACAAACAAACAAATCTAACGTCATATAAAATTTGATTTAAAAAAATGCGTCAACCTACATCAAGTTATAAATAAGATTAGTAGTAAAGTGGGATATTTATCGAGAGTTTCTGGATGTCTGAGTTCATATAGCAGAAAAATTATCTATAATACCATCATTCTTCCAAATTTCTTGTACTGTTCGACTATTCTATATTTAGCAAATAATTCCATTTTTGAAAGACTGCAAATTTTACAAAATTAGTGCATGAGAATAATACTAAATAAAGATAAATATACTCCAATTAGGCAAATGCTTAGCAAATTAAAATGGCTCAATGTAAAAAATTTTATCAAATATCTTGTAATGATATTCATTTATAAAGTAAAAAATAATATATTTCCATCAAGTCTAACTAATTTAACATCATCAAATGTCGACCATCATTTACATAATACCAGAAATAAAGATGACTTCCATCAAGGGTTGATTGAATATAATAAATTATACTCGGAGATAAAAGACCAGAAAACTTTGACAAAATCTAAAGTAAAATTGAGAAATCACTTGTTAAATCTACAATTATAGGTTATCCAACATTTACATCATACACCATATGGCTTGAATTTACTAGTTCTAAGTTGTTTACAATTATTCTGTTTATGTAGCCAGATGTGCTAAATAAATATTTCTACTACTACTACTACTTCACTCATATTTTCAATAGGCTGAATCTGTTGTGATGGTAGCTGCTAAAGCGAAAGTAGGATAAATTTGCACCTCTTAGAAAAAAAGGTAACTAGGAAGATGGATAACGAAAACCTTGCTAGAATGTATGCTCACTTAAGTACGATATATCGTAAAACCATATAAAATGAATCTAATATTTTTGTTTCACTATGTGTTAATATTATATTTAAGAAGTGCATGATATTACTAGGACACGAAACTCCTTAATACCTACAAACTTTTCCGTCCGGCACTGCGAAATTCCATCAAAATCCTATCACTACTTTCCAATTTCCAGAGGACCAAGCATTAGCGGACAGCTAAACCGACAGACAGACCGACGAAAATGACTGATATTGTTTTTCTTAATGTATGTAACTGGGGATAAAAAGCTTTCCGCTTCTGCATTTTTAGAGTTTTAGCGAGTTTTATTTATTTAATAATGATTTCAAGCTCACCTGCCTCTTGGAGTTCCAAAATGTGATCCAGATAGTCAAACATTTCCACTGTCATTTCAAAGCTGAAAGAGAAAAGGAAAGTCAATAATAGCTATTTATCAATTAACATACGCTCTCGCAATATGTTGCGCGTCAGCTGTTTAATCATCTGTTGATTGTTAAGCTAGAATTATCCTGGAGAAATGATTCTCCGTGCAAAACACAAGGACTAGATTCAGGTTTAACACGAAATCTACCGAAAACATTCTCAAATTCTTAAATAGCATATTTCTGACATAACGAAATCCACGAGTAGAGTAATTTGACTCCCCCGTTCTTCATTTTCAAAACCGAGTGGAGCTCGAACAATTTTCAATCATCGGCTAGTTTTTGTGTTGGTTTACCGTCTACCGAAAAATTTCGCACTAATATATCGAAAATAGGCCCACTATACATGGAAACACTGATTAGATTGTATGATCTCGCAGCGTCCATCAACATTGCAAGAAATCTCGAGACCATCAGAAAAATGTGATTGTATGAATTCCAAAGTTTCATTTACCGTATGGTCTTATCATGTTGGAAGAAGAATATTATCCGATTGGGGCCACAAAATGTTTATGTTTGCTGAAACCCTCACCACTACTGTAAACTTCATGAAAAAATTGGAGTCAACTTCCCTAGTACGTTTCCGGAATTCTGATGCATTCCTCCATCGTGTAAGATGTTTCATAAGAAATTCTCGAGTCTCTAGATGGCGCATGCGGATTTCTGAGTCAAGTTGTTCAAAAATGGCAACAAATTTAAAATTTGAAATACCACGAAGACGATAGGAAGTTAAGCTCATAGATTGGGGTGAAGCCAAAAGTGTCGAAAATGAAGGTACTCTTATGTGAATTGCGCAGAAAATGAATTTCTGGTTCTGTGCATATGGCATCTCTCTCATATCTAAATATCTCTGTTGCTGTCATCATGGACGTAAACAACTCCAATGTTAACAGTTCAGTCGCGTTGCAAGCAGAAATATTGCTTAACATTAATAAACCAACAAAGCATGGCAAAACGCGAAGGAAATGAAAAACCTTCGAAATCAGGACTTTGCGATGTATGTGATAATTATGTTCCTTTCATTTTTGAATGGCTCCCTTGGCACTTGATGTTATAATGATATGTCGTTGACTGTTTGCGGTAGTTTTTCACGTCAAATTTGAGAAATTGTTCGAGGCTACTATTCACCATTTTCCATGATAAGGACTTCTAGAAAAACGAATTAAAAGGTCAGATAATGAGATTAAGTGTTTTTGGTCCAAATGTAAAGTAAATTACAGGAAAAAATATACGTAGTGATTGTGATATGAGCTTTGAAGAGAGTGTCGAGGAATTACCAGATATACATACGAGGTCTGTAAATTAAGTGATGAGACTTGAAATGTAGTGGTCGATCTGGCAACACTGGAGGCGCCGGGCTTCGAGGGATGACATTCATTAGAAGTTTGAACTCGCTCGAGTCATTTGGTTGTCCGTATCGATTTTTTTTTTGAAACAGTTTCTCCTATTGTGTTCTAAAAATGAGTGACATCAATTTCGAGCAACGGTGAGCTTTAAGGTGTTGCTTCAGACTTGTGTACAGTGATACGGAAGCTCTTGCTAAACTTAATCAGACCTATGGAGCCCAGGTTCTTCGGTGGCATTTTCAGAAGGGAGTTAAATTTGACTCACACCACCGTTCATCAGATTAAAAACAACTTGGTGTTTGCATCATGATAATGCTCCTTGTCACACAGTAACATCAATAAACGAGTTTTTGACCAGTAAAAACATTCATGTGGCTCCTGATCCCTCTTATTCACCTGACTTGAGTCCTTGTGACTTTTTTCTCTTCCCGAAGTTAAAAAATCACCCCATCCCCCATCCCATTTAGGGACAGACGTAAAAAAAACAAAAGGCTGTAACCTACTCGCTGAAGGCTATTCCAGCATCGGAGTTCCAGCAGTGCTATGAGGAGTGGAACAACCGTCCCCAGCGCTGTGTGACTTCAGAAGTAATTAATTTGAGGGTGACAATATACACCTAAAATTGTAATCAAATTTGAATAAGATTTAAAAAAATCAGTCTCATCACATAATTTACAGACCTCGTATGTCTCTTTTTGCGCGTGGCGTTCGATTCATTTATACATATGTTATATAGCCGAATAACGTAGTTTTAGACACTATGGTTCAATAAAACGAAAAACTACTTACTAATTATTTATATCATTCCCAGCAATGCTCTCTAGTTCCTCAGCGGTAACACCAAGGTGTCCTGGAAACCTTGGATTCCTCCTATGGAACTCCAGTTTGTTGATCAACAGTGCTGTGTACAACTTGATCATTCTGCCATAGCCTTCACGTAAGTGGCCCCACAATTTGCCCAATGCATCCAAGTCTTTCTTGTGACGTTGGCTATCCACAAGGCATAAGGGATGACCTTCTCGAAGTACCTTATGTACTACATGGCACAGCTTCCAAGCGACGATCCTGTCATCCATAGAGGGTAGCCGAAGAGCGTAAGCCCAAAAAACTTTTGCGCTCTGAGTATGAAAAGTGCCAATGATCGCGGATCTGACATGTTTCTGCTTTACCGGGGTTTCGTTACCGTTGATAGCCTTCTGGAGTGCTTGAGCCTACACAAAATAGAAAAAAAGTGTTCAAAGTTCTAATCTATTTTTACAAAAAAGTTTCGACAATAAGCGTATCATTTTTGATCCCAAGCTTTATCTAAGTGCTACAAATGAACATATTTAACAGAAAATATCAGCCAATGTCAATGAAACACCACATACACATTTATACGTCACCAATATGAAGAAAGAAAGGCACAATGCAAACCCGGGTATTTTGTTTAGTACGCCATTTGAAACAATAAATGGACATTCTATTTAAAATAGGCCATAGGCTAAGTTGTAAAATTAGAGCGAGCTTGAGTGGAGACAAATATAAATAAATTGACTGCGCTATAACACCGGGTGCCGGTAGTTGTAGCCGTTGTTTAGTAGCAAATAAATACAAATCATTGTCGAAGTGGATGAGCATAGGTCATTTTAAAGATAGTGAGCGCTAAACTAACTTTAACGCCCTAGTGCGTTATTTCGATTTTGCAGTAGCGTGGCAGTCCTTATCGAAATAACAAAGCTCCATTAGGTACAGAGAATAGGAGAGGGCTTATTTCGTAATTCAGCGTTGATTTCTAAAACTGAGTACGCTTAACTAAAATAATTAGAATTATAGAAACGTATTATTTAAAATATAATAGAAATATGAGTTTTAGATCACAGTTAAAAATAAATGGAGCAACTAGGGTGTATTCTAAATTAACTGAATTCTCCTGACTTTTGTTATACAAGAATAAATCCTTTTTTTTGTAAAACTGGCCTATATTTAGTTAATCTCATGCCATTTCTACAAATATCAACTTTTTTGAACCAGGTTTGTTTTAAAACACTCAGAATTAAGTATTTTATCTCATCCAGCATTATTTTTCCTTGTTGTGGAGAAAAACCTACATAAAAATCATGTCAAATACCACCCTCTACTGTGGGACAGAGCATCAAGTATGATCACTGTGCCAATTTGTCAACTACTGGCAATTTTTGAATGGTAATATTGTAATTCGCCCTCTGATTTTTTTTATTTTCGTTTTATTGCAGTTATAATGGAGGAGAGTCAGTTTTCGTAGATATCAGAAAATAGAAATATATAGCTTGGATACAAAAAAATGGACAGGTTTGATGGTAAATGTTAATGTACGTAGTCATGCCATAAGTTCTGTCCCTCGTTTTCAAACAAGTGTAGACCTGTTAATACTTGTCCGATTGTTTACATTGTGGTGTCAGTTGATTAAGCGCTTTTCGGGTAATTACATATACCTCAGTTTGTATTGATCTCTCGAAGCATAACGATGGAGTGGGGCAAGGCAGAGAACCGTATTGCAGTGATAGCTTTACATAAGTGTAATCACAGTGCTAGTCAGATTTTTGAACTCTTACGCGGCCTTCAAATATCGCGTAAATTTGTGTCTAGGACCATTTAGCGGTACAATGAGACGTCCTCTGTTGATGACAGGCCAAGAAGCGGAAGACCTCGTCAAGTAAGGACTCCAGCAGCCATCAAAGCCGTAAAAGCCAGGATTCAAAGGAATCCACTCCGGAAGCAGAAGATCCTATCCAGGGAAATGAAGATTCCTGTCCGGACGATGTCGCGCATCATTAAACAAGACCTAGGGCTAGGGGCTTACCGGAGACGTACGGGCCAGCGACTTACGGCCACCTTGCGACACATCAGGGCGACAAGATCCAAGAAGCTCTTGGAGAGGTACGCAGCTGGGGGATTCCGAAAGATTTTGTTCACGGATGAGAAAATCTTCACCATAGAAGAAAAATTCAACCGACAAAATGACAAAGTGTATGCAAGGAGTTCACAGGAAGCTTCGGAGATCGTTCCGAGAGTTGAGAGAGGCCACCACCCTGCGTCAGTCATGGTTTGGTGGGGGGTGTCCTACGAAGGGGTCACTCAGCTCCATTTCTGTAAACAGGGCGTGAAAACAAAAGCGGCAAACTATCAGAGCGACATACTGGATCCTATCGTCAAGCCTTTAAGTGGTACATTGTTTGCCAACCAACACTGGGTCTACCAGCAGGATTCCGCCCCCGCTCACAAGGCTAAGAGTACGCAGCGCTGGCTGGAAAGCAATGTGCCAGAGTTCATTGCTGCGGAAGATTGGCCCTCAGGGAGTCCGGACCTCAATCCTTTAGACTACAAGTTGTGGGACCTGCTAGAGCAGTTGGCCTGCTCCAAAGCCCACCGTAATATCGAGTCCCTGAAAGCGGATTTGATCCGATCAGCGGCAGCTATTCCTTTGGAAGCTGTGCGTGCAGTGATAGATGAGTGGCCCGCGAGATTGAAGCAGTGTGTGAAGGCCAAGGGGGGACATTTTGAATAAAACTGTTTGATTATGAATTCTAAAAATGTTGTCGAATAAATAATATCTTTCATATAAATATATCTTATCTTGTTTCATTTTTATCATGAGATTATCATGGGACAGAACTTATGGCACGACTACGTACATTTAAGTAATGTATGTAATGAGCACCATTGACTGTTATGCATGCATTTTGTCATAAAACATTTTTTAACCTACCATAACCGCTCGAATGCTCGAGGTTTCCTTAATTTCGGAACTCAATTCTGTTACTGCGGCCCTAATAAAAAATTTAGTGGATTTAGGTCCAACGATCTTGGTGGCAATGAAATAAGGCCGCGCACGCTGATCCACCTTTATGAACGTTGTATTTTTGTAATTGAAGTGGTCTCAATCTGATCGAGTGTGATATGCTAGAGTATTACTCAGTATTATCATGTTGCAGTAGATCTTGATCAGAATATTTGAGTGACAAACTCACAAACTCAAATGAATGGTAGAAGTGGATTTGATGTCTTGTTCCTAAGTTTTGTAATTTTTAAAAGTCAGTAGTTATTCAGTGCCTCTTGTTATTTGTATTTTGAGTTCTATAGTTATTTTCGCGTTGAGTTTTTATTAGCTATCTATTTTTTGTCCTTGGGAGTTGTTTCATTATGCCCAGGTACGAGTATACGCTTAGCGAATACCCAGATATGCATCTCCAAAATGTTTTATGGCCCAATGTAGGTCATGCGTAACAGTCAATGGTGCTCATTACATTGATATCTCAAATCTAAATTGTCATTTAACGTCAATCCTGTCCATTTTTTGTATCCAGGTCATAAATTGTTATTTGACATCTACGAAAACTGACCCTCCTCCATTTTAACTACAATAAAACAAGAGAAAAAAAAAACGGTAGAGAGCGAATAGCATTAATACCATTCAAATATTGCCAATACTCGTAGTTGGTCAACTTTTTCGACAAATTGGTACGGTGTCGGTGATCGTACTTGATCCTCTCACTCTGCAGGGTGTTGAAGTCAGACGTTACAAGGGATGTTAATAAAAATTTAGACTTTGGACTAGATGAAATGCTCAATTGAACTCAGGTGTTTTAAAACAAACCTGATTCAAAAATGGTGATATTTGTATAAATGATACGGAATTAACTGAATCTAAGCCAGTTTAAAAAAAATGAAAATCTCGTAAACTAGAGCTTTTAATAAAAACAAAATTTTACCATCTAGTAGACTATGACGTGACCTATCTACAGTTGCAGGATTATCCTTAAATTTCTGGACACCCTGTATAAAATACAATGTGGAAAGGTACCTTTTTGTTGTAATTCTCCTGGTTTTGTGGTCACTTGTCGTTCTGTGATTCTATGAATCTAAACCTATTCATATCTTGTCCAGTTAGGATAAAATATTACAGAAACTTTTCTGTGCAGAAAACTAACAAGCTTTTGAAATTTTAGGGTTAGCTTCAAATCAAAATCTAAGCACCCTGTCATGACCGTCAATAGTCAGTACCGTCAAATTACCACGGTTCACTTTAGTGACCATAAAAAATAACGTAACGGAAGGCTTCATGATTCGTTATTTTTGTTATACGGACTCTCTAAATATGGAATAAAAAAGCGAGATTATAGGCTGTAACAAACGCCCTCTACATACTAAGTTGAAACTACGTTCATAATAACATTCCTTAAATAGTGAAGCAAACTTGAACTCCCTGTATCTAATTAACTATTAATTTACTAAATCATAACTGGTTCGATATCATCTTCACGAGCTCAATCCAAAATCGCTTTCGATCGAAATTCATTAGTATTATTTTTTATTTAGAAACTTCTTCACTTCAAGTTTAATAACCTCAATATATGTACTATATATGCTTTATACACATCCATAATAAAAGTATCATCTATTCATATTTGCGCTCACGTCTTTTTTATGGCTGTCTCTGTACACATTTTTTAAATCACTGTTCACTGCTGTGCTTGGTTCAATGACTGTATAGTTGCACGACGTTGAATCATTATTTCAATTATTAAAAATTAAGTGGTGTACACGTATTACGATCATTCACCGTCCTATTTGCTTACTAGACTTTGGATTTCAACGTACACCTTCTAAAAACGTTCATTATAGAAATTCACAGTTACGATAACTGTCTGTTCTTTTAAATGTAGTACTTCTGTTTATATTACGAGTAGGTATTGGAGGAAGGGTAATCGGTCAAAATTAAGCAAGGCGAGCGCTCAGGTAAAATTTTGATTGTGAATATGTAATCAATTACCTATTCATATTTTTAGTTTTGTTAGTTTTACAGCAAAACAAAATATAACCAATTTTACTAATAGAGTTTATAATAATGATTCCAAAAATGTATAATATGTCATACATTGACATTCCCAAACCTTAGTTATTTCAGATAAAGGGAATATCCTAGGTGGGCCTTGGAATTATCAGATATTTATCTGTTTCGTATACCAGACCAGATCTCAAATTGAACATAATAACAGTTTGGAAGACTGGGAAGAAGGAAATAAACCGAGCAGTGAACAATGTATAGATAATAGCCTACAAAATAACGGACAAGGTTTTGAACATCTAATAAGATTTACCTCTGCTTACTTATGATTATTATTGTTATTGTTATCAATAAAACTTTCAGGATTCAGGTTTCACCATACCTTTTTATATCTTTATAATTTTC